ATCCCAAAGAAAATTCCAGAAAATCACATCATATGAATTTATAAAAACTGATAACCATCTGATGAGGAAAAATAAGCATTCTTTGTAAGTGGGCAAACCTGCAAAATCAGCAAGGGGTCAGATACTTATTTCCCCCACTGTAAGTGACTGTGTTGTATAAGGAGATAAATCCCTCCTCCAGACCGGCCAGTAAAAAAATTGGCAAAAGCAAAATGTTTAATAAGGAACTAGAAAATTTCTGAAGAAATTTTGGAGGGGGGCCACCCGCTGCCCGTCCGGGAACAGGTCGGCCAATCCATATTTGGGCCCTCTGTAATGTGGGCTCGCGCCTATGAGAGGGCCTGAGGGAGAGACGCAGTGATGGAGGGACCCGGCTGAGCTCTGGGGCCCGCTGACCAAATGCGGATGGGTGGGCGGGTCGGGGGTCACGTTGGCTGAAAGCTGAGAAAAAGACCTACGCAACGAGGTATGACATGGCCCCGGTCCGGTTCCGACCCGGTTGGGTCCTATCCCTAGAACCGGAACCAGAACCGGGCTCTGACTAAAGCCCTCTAAGCGGGCTTCGCCCGCCATGGTTACAGAAATACAGTATTTCTTAAAAAATCACTTAGAGCGGGCTTCGCCCGCTTTTTGCCAGTAGCACTGTCCAAGTTAAATCGCAGAGAGCGGGCTTGGTGCGCTTTTTGCCAGGTGGTCGCCACGGCGACAGCAGCCTGGTGCCAATTCTGAACATTCTAAACTGCCACACCTGTGACTCATCACTCTGACACAGACCTAACTGACAGATGGATCAAAAGTATCCTCCGAACGGCTGTACGCTGTTCGAAAACTATATCACAAAACTTAAAAATTCTTGGACCGTGAGCGCCTACAGAGTTTAAGGTCGAATCCAATGTATTTTATTTTCGGCTGCTCCCAGCGGTTATTTTTTTATGGCAATTTCAAAATGAGGGCCGTTTTCTCTCTGGCGAAAAAAATCTCTCCTTTTTTCCATTCAAATCCTATTAGAGAGGTTTGTGAAAGTCTGGACTCTGGGCCCGATTGCCGGAAAACCGTAAGGCCGAGGTCCAAAGCGGGCACATCGGGCGAAAGAGGACACTCGCGGCTAAGTTTTGAGGCCATTTTGGCGCCGCTCGGCCCCACGGTTTGGTCGCGAGGGGCAATAGTTTGACTTTTTTTCGGTGAACGCCTCTCAGAGGCTTTAACGAGCATAGTTAGAGTGAGGGGAAAATTCTAAGATTTTGTGATTTTCACTAAAACGTCAACAGCGATTGCGGGCAAACGGTGCGAGATCTGGCCTCGTGCCTCCGATATGGCGGAGGCCCGTCTTTCGTGTCCCGTTCAATGTTCGAACGACGTCTCTCGGACGTCGTGGGCCAGAGCGATGAGGCCCTGACGGGCCTCATCTTTCGGCTTTTTTTTGTGCCCGTTTGTCGGCGGCCCCCATGCATTCCTATGGGAAAACGCTCGCCACTTTTTCGCCGTTTACTCGGAAACGCGCGCTCCTTTGAGAAAGTTTTTAACAAGCACGCATGGCTAGGTGGGTCCGAACGCGCGTGCCGACTTTGGGCCCGATCCGTCGAACCGTGCGGGACGAGAAGCGGTCCGCGGAAACGGGAGAACTATAATAATAATATGCCACAGAATAAGTATTTCGAAGAGTAATACGTGGGCCTTGCCTGCGGCAAGGCCCACCTCGGTGGGCCCTTAAGGGCCACCGAGGTGGGCCATGCCGCAGGCGTGGCCCCCCTAATTAATTTTATGCAAATAATATTCCATTTTTGAGGGTCTGTGCTGTTCTAGTGACTGGTGGCGTAATCATGTAATAATTCCTTATGACTAGATTTTGTATATAATTTTGTATATTGAAGTGGACATGTTAAGTGCAATTTGAAAGAAGAAATATAAGATAAGATAAGATAAGATAAGATAAAAATACATTTTTGTGTTTATTTGATTCCTATTCATGACACTTAAGGTAAGATAAGAATACAATAAGAATAACTATAGTGTTACTATAGGCGGCTACAGATTTGTTTGACATTTTTGGTTGGTGTGCCTCGAGATTTTTTCAATGAAAAAATGTACCTTGGCTCAAAAAGGGTTGAAAAACACTGGTATAAGGAGATAAATCCCTCCTCCAGACCGGCCAGTAAAGGTCCCGGACCCCTCACCTGCGGTCCCTTTGGGGCAGGAGCAGACGTAGGAGTTCTCGCGGTCCTGGCAGGTGCCCCCGTTTAGGCAGGGCTGGCTGAGGCACTCGTTGATGTTGGTCTCGCACAGGCGGCCGGTGTAGCCCGGCCGGCACAGGCAGGAGAAGGAGGCTAGCCCGTCCCGGCAGGAGCCGTAGTGGCACGGGTCCGAGTAGCACTCGTTCACGTCCACCTCACAGTGCTGCCCCGTGTAGCCTGGGGGGGAGGAGGGTTAGGGTTAGGGTTAGGGTCAGGGTTTATGGTTAGGGTGGAGGACCGGAGGACCAGAGGAGGGTTAGAGTGGAAGAGGGTTAGGGTTTATGGTTAGGGTGGA